ATAATATGTGTGTATAGCAATATTGAATATTTGGATTAAAAGGAAGGCAAGTACCTCCCATTTAGTTGAATTGTCCTTCCATATCAGCCACTTAAACATGGAATAGAAATCAAGTCATCACATTACCAGTATCTGCAAGTCCAGCAAACTAGCAGCGGTGATTGAGAGGGGACAAGTATTTAAGGAATAAAAATAGGGGGGGTTGGAACTAGATGATCTTTAAGGTCCCTTCCAACCCTAACCATTCTATGATTCTATGAATCTTCTTCCAGGTGGAGAACAGCCTTTCAATATTAGCATTTGCCTTCTAATAAAGAAAGGGTAAATGATATTTTAATGCTGACCAAAAGGTGAATACAAAATGCTTGTACCTAAGAAGTAATTCCTGTTGACAAATTATGCTTACTGATCTGTGGGTTTTTTGTACAGATGTAGCAGTTGGTGCTTTTCTCTCCGATTCTGCTGTGGTGCTGAGGTAAGATCACTGTATTTCAGGGCTGTTAAAGACCATACAGTTTAACTGTATTTTGTAACGCAATTTAATAAAACTCAGTAGCATATTTTAACCTCATGATACTCTTCTTGGTGTCTTGAACTTCAGTCATTAGACTCTACAATGCTCTGCAACTGAAACATTTAAGTAAATACCTTGAGGAAAAAGAAAATACAATTCTGAAAAGTCTTGAGGCAACAAATAATGTGTCTACAGTTACTTGGATTCTGAAAAATGCAGATAAATTAAAAAAATTATAATGATAAAATATTAAAATAGATTGCTAGATTCTGCAGAGATTCCGTAAGCTATTTCTGAAGTGTTTTGTGAACACTGACTCTTTTCTATTCTTAGAACAAAACCAGTCATAATTGTTGAAGCTTCTTTAAAACATCCTAATTCAATAAATCGAACTAATTTAAACTGCATGGAAAATGACCAGCCTGCTACCTGTATGAATTTGAAGATATGCTTTACCTATACAGGACGAGAGGTACCTGGTTATATTGGTAAGCTACTTGGAAAAAATTCCAGTTATGTATTTTAAATGCAGCTGTTTACAGAAGAATTTAGAATTAGGCTTTTATTCAGTTTAGAATAATAGGACATCCCTACTAAGACTACTGGAGTTACATGGCCTAGAAGAGACAGTGATGGTAGAAAGGTGGGATATTGGAGGGTGAAGGTAGAACTCTGTCTGTTGCATGGATGCTGTAATCTGAAGTTTTGATGGCAACTGGTTTAGACAAAAAAAGAGTAATTTTAGCTAGCTGGCTGCATAGTTAGGCTGAAGAGTTCAGCTGGGTCTGTGCACAGCCATTTAGTACTATTTTAACATGGGTTTTGCAGCAGTGCTAGAACAGTACCGTTCTAGCTATTTCTATAGGCTATTTCTGGTACCTGAATTAACTGACCTAGCAGTGGTGTGATGAGATTGACACTTGTACTTTTGAACTACATTATAATGATGCTGTTTCAGATGGTCCCTTTCATAGCATCGTAATAAGTAGATCTGTAATTTTGACAGGTTTTTTTTAATGAGATAGTATGCCATTAGGGTTCACAAAAAAATACAGCACTCTTACTCTGTGAACGCTTCCTTTTACATAGTTGCCCAGGGCCCAACAACAGTGTCTGTCCATATGCAATTGTCTGGGCTGTTGCTTTGCAGTTAGACAGGGAATTAATGGTGGGTGGGTGCCTTTTCTTAATGTAGAACTGAATGGATTATTCAGCATGATATTCAGATGCCCTGTAAAAGCAGTCCTCCCAGACATGGAGCCAACCGTATGGGACTGCTGTAGGAGGCAGTCTTCCACGTGGCAACAGAGGAATGACATTCCTTTCATAAAGCAGCTCAAGCACCTAAGCGTACTGTTAGGGAACATTTTGTTAAAGAGGGGGAGTCCCATCAAAATTACTGAAAAATATATCCTGTATTATATTTTGTATGATGCGTATTTTGCTTAAATCTTCTGTACAAGAATACACAATATCCTCTAGGAATGCATTACAGAGAACACATCCAACAGTGCACTGTAATGTTTCAAGTTCAGAGCTTTTGAAATTCATTATTTGTTGTGAAAGATGAGTCAGTCAGACCGGATTACCCTTGCTGGGTTTGGACATAAGACTTTTCAACTTAAATTTAAAAGACTAGAGGAAATTCTAGGTATCCTAACTCCACTTTTGGCAGAGATTAAGAAGTAATAGATCAGTAATCATAGAATCATAGAATGGTTAGGGTTGGAAGGGCCCTTAAAGATCATCTGGTTCCAACACCCCTGCCATGGGCAGGGACACCTTCCACTAGATCAGGTTGCTCAAAGCCACATCCAGCCTGGCCTTGAAGACATCCAGGGATGGGGGATCCACAGCATCTCTGGGCAACCTGTTCCAGTGCCTCACCACCCTCTCTGTGAAGAATTTCTTCCTGAGAAAGTAATGCTCTAAAACTTACTTGCAGTTTGTTATCAGAATAATTCATGCTAACTTAAATAGAGAAAACGTGAGGTTAAACAGTATTCGTCAGTGTTCGTTGACGTATCAGTTTGTTGAAATTTCATGTCAGCCCTGTAAGTAACTGAGGTAGGTTTTCTTTAAGTAGATTCTAGTAGAAAGCTGTAAATATCGCTTGAGAAAACCATCCCTGATGTAAATGCATGTATGAGGGATCAGTCATGATACAGTCAATTTTTACAGCGCTAGAAGCTTTCATTAGGTATGGATTTATGTCAGAGAATTTTTAAGTGGAGCATTTCAAAATGAGTAGTACAGAACATACTTAAGGAAGTGAGTCAGAAAATGTAATTTCTGTCCTATATCCGTGAATAACACTTAAAGTTTTCATAACTTTTATTTTCCCTGTGGTTTATTTTGCAGTACTGCTTTATAATCTGAGAGTTGATGTGAACAGAAAAGCGGATACACAAGCAAGATTTTATTTTTCCTCCAATGGAACATCTGAAACAATCTCAGGACATGTAAAGATTTACAACAAGAAAATTGCCTGCAAGGATCATGCAGCATTTATGAGGGTAATGTAATTTTCAATATGTATTGCCCTGTTAAATCCGCTGTTCCCCTTTGAAAAGCACACCTTCTGCAAAAGAACCTATTTTGTTTACAAATGCATCACATAATTTTGGAATTAAAATGTTTGTGTTCATAACTTCCACAATAAATATATTGTAATTTTGATGCTTTCTCAGCTTTCTGTGGGGAAGTCAGTGGGTCTGCCATCTCTTTGTGTTGGTGAGAATGTGCATAACAATAACCATCACAGTGATAAAGCAGGACATGAGCAGTCTTGACACTTTCTCACCCTATTTTATGGGTGACAGACAGATCATAGATTGAGGCCAGTTTGGAGCAACCAAGAAGATATGGTATAACGTAAATTTTCTGCTGAACATTTCTGGTGAAACTTTGTACTCCTTAATGCAAAATCTTTAAACTTGTAATTACACACAAAAATGTTTTGTCATTTGTAACTATTTCAAAGAACACATGTATGGTCTTGCTCCCCTTTTGGCTGTGAGCAGATGAAGTAGATTCACCTGATAAGAACCCCATCCGTAGGAAGTGAAATGATGGTGATTGTTAGAAGTGTGTAGTTTGAGGTTTACAGGGTGGTCTCTGTGAATTTGTTGCAAGGAGCCAAAGGCTAGCGAAGCATGAAGAACAACACTTGCTTGGAATTCTTTGATTTCTCCCTTCAAGGAACACAGGACTCGCCAAGGGAAACAGGGAATCAAGAGGAGAAAACAGGGTGGGAAGAGCATTTGTGGGAGTTTCATGAATTAATTTAGAACTGAACAATATGAAGAATGTGCACCGTGCTGACAGAGTGATCTCTCTGCTCACGAAAGTGGAGCCTGCACGGCTGTGTCTTTGCCCTGGACATATCAACCTGAATCCTGGACCAGAGTAGTAGCAAATATGGTTAGAATTTCCCATCTCTGAAGGTGTAGCAACAACTTTGTTGTAGAAGGAATCTGGTGTAGAGGTGCTTCAGAGGAGAAGCCACAGAGGTAGAAGTGCTGCCAGGGCAAGTGGGCATTTGGCAGGAGTCTGCTGGCAACCTGCAAGGTGTCAGCTAGCCAGGGAGGCCTGTACCAACAGCAATAATAAAGAGGGTACCAGCCTCTCAAGGGGGGAAGAAGGTGGCTGTTGGTTTCTCCACAAGTAGAGTTTGATCCCAGAGCAGCAATCCTGTGAAATTGAGGATGGTACTGACTTGGAAATACATTGATCAGAATCTAGTCAGTAAGATCCTAGCTCCGATAGTAGTCTCAAAGTCACTGTTGCCCCAGAGGAAATGAAATGTTGTATTCCTGCCTGTATTCCTCTGAAGGATGAATGAGGGACCTGTCTTGAAACTAAAAACAACTGCAATCAGGACAAGGATGTAATATTTTTAAGGCCATTCACTGGTCAAGAATAAAAGTGATTCAGTCTATCAAACATCTTAGAAGCTTGCCTATTCCAACAAAAATTTTGAAGAATAAATAGGAAGAACTTGAAGTCCTAAAATAATAAAAACTAGCAGACACAAAGGAACCATGTTTTATTAAACTCAAAAAATAAAACTTCTCTCCTGCAAGACCTTACCTAATGGGGAAAAGAATTCTTTAAAAATTCCCTGTCCTTAGTACTTTAGAGGTAAGGAGAAACAAAGCTAATAAAATAATGGACTAGTTTGCCTAGGCTTTTCTTTAAAATCCTCAAGGTAGCAATTCTGTGACCTTTTGAAACAAATATCTAATAGGATGACGGGTGCAGCTGATCCTGCACAGAGGCTGGGAAATTGACTTAATTTTCTACAGCTACAAAAAAACCTGCAGGGAAAAAGTTTTCCATGTATTTTTCTCCTTCCTTCCTTTTACTTAAGCTTTGGTTATGACAACTCGAGAAGCTGATTCTTCACGATAAAGCTTCAGGGTAGAAAGGAAAGCTTATGTTATCTCTTGGAAAATTGCCCAGATGCATCTCAACTTTTAGTTGCACCTTAAGTGACTGTTACTTACAGGAGCAATGGCAAATTGCCCACTTACTTCTAAGAGTTTTGTAAGCTTGCAGAGATCTGACTGACAGCCGACCTTGTACAGATTGCTGGTACCAGCATCAGCAGGTATTTGTGTAGGAGGAAGGATATGATTTGGCTCATCACTTCCTATAGTTTATTATTATTATTTCTTCCTCCATATAATTCAATTTTCTTTTTAATTCTTAATTAATAGCATTATAAGCATCTCCTTCCACCCACTGAGGTTTCTGTACTTGTATGAAGCTCCTGAAGTTAAGTAAGTGTGAATGTCTGTCAACTACAGTCCTTGCAAGAGACCACATACGTTTTATGTATTTCAAGAAGGCTAATTAATAGCTAAATAGTATAATGGAAGTAATATAAAGCAGATGCAGAGAAGACCTTGTGGAAAATTATTATTAATTATATAATAATGTGATTTGGCCAAAGCAGGCTTGCAGATAAGAATTAAAGTCATGGCTATGTGGAGGGATAATCGTGTCTGTTTATCTCCTACACCTGGGGAATAATTTAGTCAGGTTTGCTATTGTGACTACGCGGTGCTTCAAGCTGTTCCAGTTTCACAAGTAAGTAGTTTAGGCTCTGATCTGCAACATTCCTACACAGTCAAGGCTTCATGTATAAAATGGTCATTTATCCAGGAATTTAATTATTTTTAATATAGAATAGGAAACAGGCAGAAAAATAAAATGCAGTCATGACCTGATTTAGTGGTACTGTGGGAGAACACCCTTTGACTTCATACAGAAACAGCTGTGGGTTTTGTCTGGCACTGTCACACCAGTTAACCTTCTCCGTTGTAGCCAACTTTTGCTGGTTTTTCTATTGGGGCAGTACAGCATTTCACAGGTGTGTAAGGCAGTATTGTTGACAGGAGTAGGTTCACTGTTCAATAAAACTTCTTTTAACAAAAGAATTTTCTGCTCTGACATGGCTGATGCCGTCATCGAATATATCACACATTTCTGCGTGTCTGATTACCGCTTTCAGTGACAGAGACGTCTGGACAAGTGTATGAGCCATATGGCACATGCAATTATTTTACATGTAAAAAATAAGTGTTCCTGTTAAAGTTATTTCTAGGGAGCCTTATAATCTTTAAAACATAAGCATACATGTTTTGTCTTATATGATTAACTCATTAGGTTTCCAATTTTCATAGAAAGATGTAAGGGATATCTTGACTCCTGTACATGTTGAAGCAAGTTATCATCTGGGCCATCATATTCTACAGAAAAAAAATGCTCAAGAATTTCCACCACTTCAACCTGTTCTTCAAAGGAGGAAAGAAAAAGATGTTATAACAAGCAAGGTCAGTGTATCAGTTCTCTTTTTCAAATGCAGTAACTAATGGTCACATTTTAATCTTCAGTTAAAAAAAGCTTCACGCATCCACTGCATGTTGAAGGAATGCATTTTCCAGAGCAGCATCTAGTGCCTTGGTTTTAATTAGTAAACCAGCATGCTAAAAAAAATGCTTGTTTTAGTCTTTAAAAAAAATCTTTGCAGTACTGGTACATAATTTGTATTATGTTTTTTTGTTTTGTTTTTTAAAAAAGAGGTATGTGCAGAGAACTTGCAAGAATATAAAACATTATAGACCTTAGAACATGCAGGTGTGAAATTCACTCTTTGAAATATCTGTTCTTTTTCAGCCACGCAGGATGAGTCACTTCCCAGTATAAAACTGTTCTTAAAATTAATTCTATGTTAAATACAATATTGTGTTGGTATTAATCTTGAAGTATTTCAGCAATGTTGCTGAAATATTAGTTCTGTGAAGGTATTGCAGGTTTTCAAACCCAAAACCTGCAGGGGAAAAAACAGTGTATGCTGTATCCTTAAATGAGTGTCAAATTAACTTTTTATTCCCCAAAAAACATTGAGAGCTAGTAGACTTTGACTTAAGTGAAAGTCAGGATGCTCTGAATTTTTGAACTACCAAATGGCCATAAACATACTATGACTTTTCACAAACAGTAATGTCTTCGTGTAGTTCAGATACAGTTGACTGTCAGGAGTCCATTTAAATGAGGTGCTTTTCTTTTTCAGTTTCAGTTAAATTTCTCTTTTAGAAACAAAAGAGAGAGAGTGAGTTGTTAAATAGAGTGACATAGATGTGCTCTATAGCATAGTAATAACCAAGGCACAGACACATGCAATTCATGGTGTCTCTACTCTCATCAAACCTTGCTAACAGTATGATAAGCAAGTTTGTGTAATGAAACTCTCGCAGAAGTTCATGTGCTGTATTGTGGAAGAGACTGTAGAGGCCGCAATTCTGAGTCCTCTAGAACACTGCCCTTTTTATCTACTACTCTTAAAACCCAGCTGAACATACACCCGCTGGTTTAACTGGGAGCAACTGAGTCTGGAAAGCTTTTGTTGTTATTCTGGGTGGGCAGAATGCATTTGGGACATGGCAAATCATAGCCTCTTTTCTTTGTTTTTTATAGTTTGTGTTTGCAAGATTTTGCTCCCAAGAAAATTGTTCTGCTGACTTGAGACTTTCTGGGAAAGTTGCTTTTCCAAAGTAAGTATAATGTGACTTTCATTTTTTTGAAGGAAGTTCAGTAACATTTTATCTAAGTTATTCCTCAATCTTGTATGTAAAGAATGTTAATTTACATAAGTAGACTCTGGACTCCCTGAGAAAATATGAGAAGTAAACCCAGTTTTAATTGAAGAATATTTTTAAATCTTAAATCTTCCAGGAAATGTAACAGAAATATATTTTATAAGCTGTAAAGTCTTCTAATTATGCAAGAACAGTTCTTCAATTAAATACATCTTCACGAAAAGGTAGACCTGTATTCTACAGTTCACATATAACTGGGCTGAGATACTATGCACGTGGCATACTCAGCATGTAGACATCATAGCTACTGTCGAGTTGAAAAGCTATCAATTATTTCTGCTGTTCCTAGGAAGATACTGTATTTGCACTGTTCAAAGATGACAGTTCTGTACTAAGATATTGTTATATTTATTATTTCAGTTATAAAATAGTCTCTTTTTTTACCTCATTTACTTAAGAATATTACACCCTCAGTTTTATACTGCTGATTCAGACACCAGATGGTTGAATATTATGTGAGGTTTAGACTACTTTTC